CACCTGAGATACCCAAAACTCACCTGGGCTGCCCAAAATTGTACCTGGCCTGGCCAAAACACACCTGGACAGCCCAAAACACACCTCACCTGTCCCAGGTGTGTCCCCCCAATCCAGGTGTGTCCCCAGCTGTTCCTCACCTGCGCCAGGTGTGAATCTCCCCCCAGTCCAGGTGTCACCCCCCCAGCTGTGTCTCACCTGTCCCAGCTGTGTCTCACCTGTCCCAGGTGTGTCTCACCTGTCCCAGGTGTGTCCCCAGGTGTGAATCCCCCCAATCCAGGTGTGTCTAACCTGTCCCAGGTGTGAATCCCCCCAATCCAGATGTGTCCCCCCTCACCTGTCCCAGCTGTGTCTCACCTGTCCCAGGTGTGTCCCCAGGTGTGAATCTCCCCCCAATCCAGGTGTGTCTCACCTGTCCCAGGTGTGAATCCCCCCAATCCAGATGTGTCCCCCCTCACCTGTCCCAGCTGTGTCTCACCTGTGCCAGCTGTGTCTCACCTGTGCCAGCTGTGTCCCCAGCTGTGTCCCCAGGTGTGTCTCACCTGTCCCAGCTGTGTCTCACCTGTCCCAGCTGTGTCTCACCTGTCCCAGCTGTGTCTCACCTGTCCCAGCTGTGTGGACACTGGTGGTGGCAGCGGAGGGGACACTGACGTGACAGGGATGTGACACCGATGGTGGCACTGATGTGGCAGAGATGGTGACATTTATATGGCACTAATGGTGGCACTGATGTGACACTGATAGTGGCAGGGATGTCACACTGATGGTGGCACTGGTGGTGACAGCAATGTGACATCGCTGGTGGCACTGATGTGACACCGATGGTGGCAGGGATGTCACACCGATGGTGGCACCGATCTGACAGGGATGGTGACATTCATGTGGCACCGATGGTGGCACTGATGTGACAGGAATGGTGGCACTGACGTGACACCGATGGTGGCACTGATGTGACAGGGATGTGGCACGGATGGTGACATTTATGTGGCACTGATGTGACAGGGATGTGGCACACCCGTCCAGGCCGCGCTGCTGCAGCTGCGCCCGCAGCACGGCGTTCTCGCTCTTCAGCTCCTCCACCTGCCCAAAACACCCCAAAAAACCCCAAAATTGGGGGCGGGGGGAGCCCCGGAGCCAAAGCCCCAAAATTCACCGAAATCCCCCCAAATTTCCCGGGGTTTGGACCCGAAATTCCCGCCATTTTCGCCCAAAATTCCCATTTTTAACCCCATTTTCCCCTCCATTTTCCCATGATTTTCACCCAAAATTCCTCCAATTTTTCCCGTGTTCACCCATAATTCCCAAAATTCCCCTTTTTTCCCCCAAATTTTCCGGGGTTTAGACCACAAATTCCCACGATTTTCACCCAAAATTCCCATTTTTAGCCCCTTTTTTCCCCACGATTTTCACGTCAAATTTCCCATTTTTAAACCCGAAATTCCCATGATTTTCCCCTGAAATTCCCACGATTTTCACCCCAAAATTCGCATTTTTAGCCCCAAAATTCCCGTGATTTTCACCCCAAATTTCCCATTTTTAGCCCCGAAATTCCCGCGATTTTCACCCAAAATTCCCATTTTTAACCCCATTTTCCCCTCCATTTTCACCCCAAATTTCTCAGTTTTAAACCCAAAATTCCCATGATTTTCACCCCAAATTTCCATGATTTTTCCCCAAAATTCCCATTTTTAGATCCGAAATTCCCGTGATTTTCACCCCAAATTTCCCATTTTTAGCCCCAAAATTCCCACCATTTTCCCCCAAAATTCCCATTTTTAGCCCTTTTTTCCCCACCATTTTCACCCCAAATTCCCATTTTTAGCCCTGAAATTCTCATGATTTTTTTCCCCACAATTTCCCCATTTTTAGCCCTTTTCCCCTCCATTTTCCCATGATTTTCACCCAAAATTCCTCCAATTTTTCCCGTGTTCACCCATAATTCCCAAAATTCCCCTTTTTTCCCCCAAATTTTCCGGGGTTTAGACCACAAATTCCCACGATTTTCACCCAAAATTCCCATTTTTAGCCCCTTTTTTCCCCACGATTTTCACGTCAAATTTCCCATTTTTAAACCCGAAATTCCCATGATTTTCCCCCGAAATTCCCACGATTTTCACCCCAAATTTCCCATTTTTAGCCCCATTTCCCCCCTCAATTCTCCCACGATTTTCACCCAAAATTCCTTCCATTTTCCCATTTTCCTCCAATTTTTCCCATGTTCACCCAAAATTCCTCAAATTTCCCTTTTTTCCCCCAAATTTTCCTGGGTTTACACCCTAAATTCCCACGATTTTCATCCCAAAATTCACATTTTTAGTCCCAAAATTCCCATGATCTTCACCCCAAAATTCGCATTTTTAGCCCCTTTCCCCCCCCATGATTTTCCCATGATTTTCACCCAAATTTCCCATTTTTAGCCCCGAAATTCCCACCATTTTCCCCCAAAATTCCCATTTTTAGCCCTTTTTTCCCCACCATTTTCACCCCAAATTCCCATTTTTAGCCCTTTTTCCCCCTCAATTTTCCCATGATTTTCACCCAAAATTCCTCCAATTTTTCCCGTGTTCACCCATAATTCCCAAAATTCCCCTTTTTTCCCCCAAATTTTCCGGGGTTTAGACCACAAATTCCCACGATTTTCACCCAAAATTCCCATTTTTAGCCCCTTTTTTCCCCCACGATTTTCACGTCCAATTTCCCATTTTTAAACCCGAAATTCCCATGATTTTCCCCCGAAATTCCCACGATTTTCACCCCAAATTTCCCATTTTTAGCCCCATTTCCCCCCTCAATTCTCCCACGATTTTCACCCAAAATTCCTTCCATTTTCCCATTTTCCTCCAATTTTTCCCATGTTCACCCAAAATTCCTCAAATTTCCCTTTTTTCCCCCAAATTTTCCTGGGTTTACACCCTAAATTCCCACGATTTTCATCCCAAAATTCACATTTTTAGTCCCAAAATTCCCATGATCTTCACCCCAAAATTCGCATTTTTAGCCCCTTTCCCCCCCCATGATTTTCCCATGATTTTCACCCAAATTTCCCATTTCCTCCCCCATTTTCCCCATTTTCCCCCATTTTTCCCTGTTTCCCCCAT